TCCCACAGCCATCCCATCCCATCCCATCCCATCCCATCCCATCCCATCCCATCCCATCCCATCCCATCCCATCCCATCCCATCCCATCCCAGGGGTACCTTTGTCCAGCAGAGTTGGGGACAGGGATGTGAGGTCACCAAACTGAAAGAAAAAGGAGTTCTGGGGTCAGTGAGGCTTTGCCAGACAATTTCAACCACCCAGGAGAGACTGTGAGCATCGGTGCTGGTGGTGGAGAGCAGAAATTCAACTCAACCACAGGGTTTGGGGGAAAAGCCTTCTGATGTTGTTTAAACCTCTGTGCACACACCACACACAACAATCCAGGGCAGGATTTAGCTCTGGGATTAAGGGAGACTGAAAGGATGGAAATTTTTCCATCTCTCAGGTGATGACCAAGTGCTGCTACAGGCAAAAGTGGTGCCTTTTCTCCAGCCCCTTCCACGTCTCAGGCATTTCCCCTGTCCTGGCTCCACCTTCACCTCTCTGCAAAGCCTCTGCAGTGATGGCAGAGAGAGTTTGGCCAGCCAGGCCGTGGTGCCAAGTGGAACCAGAGAGCTCCTTGGCTCTGGAGATGTGGTGTCCCTCTCAATGACGAGGTCTGAGACACCAAATTGCTGAAAGGTCATGGAAAGCTGGGCAGGAGCAGGAGCTGAGGAACTGCAAAGTTCAGTGGGAGGGGAAGGACACTTCATCCTTCTTGGCTGGGAAGAATCAGCCTCCTCCTGGAGAACAGGAATATTGCAAGGGTTTAGTGAAGGAAAAGCCTGAAGGATGAGAGCCTCCCACAGCTGGGCTTTGCTGGGTGTGGGAATCCAGGGCTTCCCTCTGGCTGCCCTGGCAGGTCTGGGACCCTGGCAGGGGTCAGGAACCCCCCTGGACAGAGCCCCCAGAGGCACTGGCTGTGATCTCTGGCCATGGAAAAGAGTTTTCAATCTTACAGGATCAATTACCAGCTCTGAGTGTTTAATATGAGTAATAATTAAGTGTGGCATGGGTGCAAAAGTAAAATTTTAGGATTCTAGATTAGGGGTTCAAAGGGGACAAGATGGAGGAAATTGGGTGTGCCTTGTCCTTTTTCTCCTTCTTCATGCCCTCCATGTCTCACTGTGGTGTTGGCATTTTTCTGTTGGTTCAGGCTGGGGACACACTGTCCAACGTAGGCGACAGATATTGGCACGTTCTTGTAAATGCAGCCCAGGGAGTTTCTGGTATTTAATGTTTGTAACATCCCACTGAGGGCAGAGCCCCACATGCTGCCCTGCAGGACAGAGCTGGGCAGGGCAGCAGAACATGTGAGAGATAAACAGAATAAACAACCTGGAAACCAGCACAGACCAATTCTGGCTTCTGCTTTGGCAGTGGGGCTGAAAGACAGAGACTTTCTACAATCTCAGAATCATCAATACCTCAGATTCCGAGAGCTGGGAGCCAGTCTCTGCCTTTCAGGCTCTTTTAATACCACTGAAGGTGGAGGTTTTGCAGGGAATAGTGGGAACTCAGCACTGCAGCTGGAGCAGTGTGGGAAGGCAGAACCAACAGCCTTTGGTTTGCCTGGATCCCTGCATGAGCTCTGTGGGAGCTTCAAGCAGCAAATGAGATCAGTTCTGAGCACGTGGGCTCAGTTTTAAACTCACAGGAGTTTCAGCATTGCTGTCACAAGTTCATCTGGGGCTTTTAACTCTGTATTTCAGAGGGAAAAACTGGATGTGGCTCCAGCTAGGCAGGACAGGACCTGCCTGCAAGCCAGGCACCAGATTTGCTGTGAACAAAAAAACCCCCAAAGCCTCACAAACAGCCCAAAGAGCCCCATCATCCTCTTCTTCACCTCAGGAATGGAGGGAGTGGCTGACTGTGCAGGGAATGCTGGAGCTTGTAGAGGCCTGGGGAAATTCAGTTGCTGAAAGCAACTTTTGGGCCATTTTTGCTTGGTTGAGCTGGACTTTGCCCTGTCAGGAGTCCCAAAGTCAGGGCTGGCAGCCACACGTGATGCAGAGAAGTGGGGAAATCCTTTCCCTCCCTCCTGCAGGCCTCCAAAGCCCAAGTGATGCTCAACCACCCCAAACCCCAAACCCACCAGTGTGGCAAGCACATTTCTCTCCCTCTCGGGATTTTTCATAGAGGTGCACAGAGAGAAATTAAAGAGAAAACAATTTCTATTTCTGCTCCTTGTTTTTCCCATGTGGAATGTGTTTGGAGAATTGTTTACCTGGGGTGAGTGCTTGGTTGGATTCTGGTGAGGATTGTTTGAGCCTGGTGGCCAATCCAACCCACTTGGGGCTGGGCTCTCAGAGAGGATCACGAGTTGTGAGAGAGTTAGAGTCAGAGAAAGTAGTGTGTAGTCTTAGGATCCTCCTTTTATATAGTATATTAATGTATTTTAGCATAGTTATAATAAATAATTCAGCCTTCTGAATTGAGTCAGGCATCAGCATTTCTTCCCATTGGGTTCACCTGCATTTACAATACACCAGCTCAGGGAAGATGCTCCAGCAGCTCTCTTCTTGTGCCAAAACAACTCAATAAATCATTTCTGTTGCAAACAAGCTGAGGGCATGGTGTGGTTTGTGAACCAGCGGTGTCTTTTGAGGAGCTGCTTCTTTGGGGTTGGTTTGTAGGGAATAAAGGATTCTCACCTCTCCCATGACAGCAATTGGGGTCTCCCCTGTGGCCTGGGCCACTCGATGCTCCACCAGGTAGAACATGTACTCGTCGTAGAGCAGGCGGATCAGGTGGAAGGAGCCAAAGCTGGCGGCGCTGCGCAGGGTGAGGTCCCGGATCACCATGGAGCTGGGAATTGGGCAGGAAGCAGAAATTTGGGTTGAGTTTTACACCTGTGCTATGGCTGCTGTGAATTCTGGACCTTGGTGGGACTGTGGGACTCAGTGCTGTCTCTGCCTCTGACCCAAAAGTATCAAAACACTTTGAAGAAATTAATTTATGAGGCATCCTGTCCCCGTCCTGAAAGGATTCCAGAACCACAGTTATGCAGAATTTCATGGGAGTAAAGAACTCGGCCTTGGCTTTTCAAGGATCTCTTTACATGCCTCAAGGAGCTCTTTCTCATGCAGAAATACCCCCAAAATGAGAACGAAAATGTACCTGTAGAAGGACCACTTCAACAGGAACTGCCTGGCTGCCTTGGGGAAGCTGGGGCTGCCCTCGTGGTGCTTCAGCACTTGAGTGACCACGTTGTCCAGCCAGCTGGCCCACTGGTCCAGAGAGCTCTGCTGCTGCAGAGTCAGCTTGAAATCCTGCTCCAGCTTCTGTACCATGCCCTCCTCACACTGGCACACCCACGAGGCCTGCTCCTGCTCAGGAGGAAGGGTTCATGGTTACTCATACCCTGCTCCTGCTTGGAAGAAGGGCTCACAGCTACTCCTGCCCTGCCCTTGCTCAGGAGGAAGGGTTCATGGTTACTCCTGGCCTGCTCCTGCTTGGAAGAAAGGCTCACAGTTACTCAAGCCAGGCCTGCATGGTGTTGTTTTCTAGCAGGAAAGTGCTGCAAACCAGCTCTGAATCATGGCCCCTCTGATCTGTCTGGACCACAGCATTTTTAGAACTCCATAATTGTTGGCAGCACTTAGATTCTCTGCTGGAAAAGTGGTAAAGAATTGGAATGGGGTGCCCAGGGAAGTGGTGGAGTCACAACCTCTGGAAGTGTTCAAAAAATGAGTTGTTGGGGACACGGTTTAGTGGGCATGGTGGGGTTCAGGTGAAGGTTGGACTGGATGGTATTGGAGGTTTTTTCCAGCTTTAATGATCTGTGAATCTTACAGAAACTCCTTTTCCACAGTGGGGTGGAAAATTCACCTGGCAAAGCAACACCAAACCCATCACCTTGTTCACAGAATCACAGAATCACTGGGTTGGAAGAGACCTCCAAGATCATCGAGTCCAACCCAGCCCCAAACACCTCAACTCAACCCTGGCACCCAGTGCCACATCCAGGCTTTGTTAAACACACCCAGGGATGGTGACTCCACCACCTCCCTGGGCAGCCATTCCAAAACTTTACCACCCGTTCGTTATTATTTCTTTCTTTATTTCTATATTAAAGGAACCTGAAGGGCAGAGACTGACTCCCAGCAAAGCCCAGCTGTGGGAGGCTCTCATCCCTCAGGCTTTTCCTTCACTAAACCCTTGCAATATTCCTGTTCTCCAGGAGGAGGCTGATTCTGCCCAGCACAGAAGGATGAAGTGTCCTTCCACTCCCACTGAACTTTGCAGTTCCTCAAAGAAAAAACTTCTTCCTAATATCCAACCTATATTTCCCCTGGGGCAGCTTGAGGCTGTGTCCTCTGGTTCTGTCAGTTCCTGGAGAAAGAGCCCAACCCCACCTGAGCACAGCCACCTTTCAGGGAGTTGTAGAGAGTGATATGTGGGTCTCAGATTCAGTCAAAGAAAGAAACTGAGAGTTTCTAGCCAGGCAAAAAGCCTGGGAAAGTGCTGGGAAAGAATGTAAATAATTCTTTATCTCTCTTGTATTTCACACTGTTTATAGTTAAGTTCTATCACTGTACGTCAAGCACTCTGCACCAATGCTGTGGGTTGTTTTCACTTCAGGACCAATGGATTTGATCCTTGCAAAGCTCTGTATAAAAGAGCAGTGTATTTTTAATAATCAGAGTTTTACTGTTACAGCCTTCTGAGTCAGTCTCTTCATTCCCTGCCTCGACAGCGACAGTGATAAGGTCACCCCCGAGTCTTTTCTTCCCCAGCTCCTTCAGTGGGTTCCAGCACTGGGGACTGAGCATGGCTAGCAGCAGAGGGGCTGGCTGTGGAGCCCCAGCCGTGGGGCAGGTGAGGAGCAGGGCAGCCCGTGGCTTACCTGCACGTTGGCGAAGTCCACGCGGTTGAGGTCGCTGAGCATCTGGTTGATCTGGGACGTGTTCTGCAGCACGGCGCGCGCCGCCTGCGCCAGGTGGTTCAGGGACGTGTACCTGCGCAGGGTCTGGGCAAAGGCACTCACCACCCCCACCTGCAACACAGCACAGGGGCTGCAGGGCATGCACTGCTGCCTGCCCAGCCCTGCACACGCCAGCACGGGCGGTGCTGCAGCCACCAGCCATGGAAGGGCTCAAAAAACCTGTGGGCACAGCTCAGTGGTGGTCTGTGCAGTGCTGGGACTCAAAGCATCCTAGAGGTCATCTCCAACCTCATCCTTGTGCCAGGCACAGGTGGTTGTAAAACATGTTGAGGGCACAGTGTGGTTTGTGAACCAATGGTGTCTCTTTAGGTGGTGCTCAGTTTGGGTTGGTTTGTAGGGAATAAAGCAGTCACCAGCCATGGAAGGGTTCAAAAAAACGTGTAGGCACAGCTCAGGGACACGGTTCAGTGGTGGTCTGGGCAGTGCTGGGACTCAAATCATCCTAAAGGTTATTTCCAACCTAATCCTTGTGCCAGGTACTTGGAACACTCCATCAATCCTTAGGCACAGGTGGTTGTAAAACGTGTTGAGGGCACAGTGTGGTTTGTGAATTGGGTTGGTTTGTAGGGAATAAAGTATTCTGACACCGCAGTCACCAGCCATGGAAGGGCTCAAAAAACGTGTGGGCACAGCTTGGGGACATGGTTTAGTGGTGGCCTGGGCAGTGCTTGAAATGCAGATGAAAAATTAAACTCTACAATTCTAATAAAGATTTGTAGGGAATGGATATCTTTATTTACAGCGCTGTGGACGTATGTCAGGACTCATTGCTTTTTAATGTATATGCACACCTTTGAGAACTCTCGATCCTTTTTTATTACTTTTACTAATTTTTATATGCATTTATATGCAATTTCACAATAGGTTAATGCATATTCATTGTGCTGATTTCACATTACACTTACAGCTAGTTACACTTGTACTCAGTTTTTGTTAGAAAGTACAGAAATTACTCTTGGGTTACTCTGCCCTGTCTGTTTTAAAGTCTAAGGAGTCTTTCTTATCTCTTATCTTTTAGTGTGGAAATTTGCATTCTTTTTCTTTAGCTGGGGTAGTTTTGCTAAGGCTGCAGTCTCTAGACTAAACAGCATATTTTGCAAGCTTAAAGTAGCACATTTTACTTAAATCTAAATAGATTTCTACCCTATTAAATTTTCACTCTGTCTCATGCTGGGACTCAAATCCTCTTGAAGGTCATTTCCAACCTCATTGTTGTGCCAGGTACTTGGAACAACTCAATCCTTAGGCACAGGTGGTTGTAAAACATGTTGAGGGCACAGTGTGGTTTGTGAATGAATGGTGACTCTTTAGGTGCTGCTCAGTTTGGGTTGGTTTGTAGGGAATAAAGGATTCTGACCTCGCCCATCACATCTCCCTAGTTGTCTGGGCCACACAATGCTCCACCAGGCAGAACTGCAGTGGAAGGACCCAAACTTAAATCATTCTATGATTCTATTATTTATTCTCTTTCAGCTACCAGGTTTTCACACTCTGCCTCCAGCAGAGACCAGCAAGGTGGGAAGAGGCAGCAAGAATCCCTGGCTTTAGGAGAGCAGGAGCCTTGGGTCAATGCCACTCACTCCTGTGCTTTCCAGGAGGGCAGCCTCACTCCAGGGCAGAGATAACAGGGAATGGTCCTGGCCCCGAGGCTGCCAGAGCTCCAGGAGCTCTCAGGAATGCTCAGGGTGGGGATGTTGGGGTGTCTGTGCAGGGACAGGGGTTTGTGATGATCCCTGTGGGTCCCTTCCAGCTCAGGATATTCTCTGGCTCTATGATCTTCTGCCATAAATCTTTACCTGCAATTTCAGGACACAGGAAAGGCTCCATGAGTTGTCTGATCACTCAAAATCTATTCATGAAAGCATACAACAACTGGAGCTTCTGGCACAAAGGAACTGCCCCACCTGTCCTCCCACTCCTGGCTGATTTTGGTTCACACTCAACCATTGCACTGTGCCAGGTGAAAAAACCCCAGCAGGAATTTCTGCAAGATGCAGACACACACTGGGCCCGTCTCTGCTCACCTTGGTCTGCACGACCTGGGGGGGGAATTCACTCATGGCATTCATCAGCCACCCTTCCAAGCTCTTGGCAAAGTTCCGGATCGCCTGGGTCAGCGTGCCTGCAAGTCAGAAAGGCTGGGCTGTGCCATTTTTGGCTACCATCTCCTAGCTTAGGACTGCTGGGAAAGCTGAGATGGCAGCAAGGAAATCAGCTGGGTTGATGCACTCAAATTATTCTTTCATGTTATTACTCAAACTCTTATTATTTTTTTTCTTTTCCATTTCTCTTTATTTATTCTTATTCTTATTCTTATTCTTATTCTTATTCTTATTCTTATTCTTATTCTTATTCTTATTCTTATTCTTACTCTTACTCTTATTCTTATCCTTATCTTACTCTTATCCTTATGACAATTGGACTTAATGTTCTTAAAGGTATTTTCCAACCTAAACATTTCTGGTTTTTTTATTATTTTTATTTTCTTTTGTCCTTTTCTTATTCATGGCCCTTCTGAGCATTTTTCAAGCATTGAAATTCACTCTTCAAAGACACCCTTGTGCCCCAGCTTGTGACAACCCTCAGAGGGACATTTGGGAATCCAAATCAGAGAGAAAATCAAATCCTCAATACCCCATTATTAATCTCCCAAAAAACTTGACTCCTAATTTTCAGGAGTGCAGTCAGGGACAGGATGATCCTGTGCAAACAAAGACCTTCAAGGAGCCACATCCCAAAGAGTTCCCATATCCAAACTCCTGGCCAAAGTCAGGAGATTTAAAATTTAAAAGGGAGGGGATTTCTCAGGGGGTACAAAATATCCCCCCAGAGCAATGCTGCAGGAGGAACACTGCTGTTGCCTTTTTATTTTACCCAGAACACCTCCAGGTGGGTTTTTACAGTGGAAATCTTTGTGGAAGTGGTAGCCAGGGTGAGATCAGACTCAGCTGGGGCTGGGGGTACTCACTGGGCACTGGCCTGAGCACGTCAGGGATGAGGATCTCCACCAGGGCCTGGTACAAGATGTGGTCACAGCTCCTCATCCACTTGAGGATGGGCTCATACTTGCACAGGGTGATCAGTTTGTCCTTTGGGAGGGTCCCTTCAGGTTCCTCTTCACTGCAGGAGGAGGAGGAAGGAGACAGAGTTAGCAGCAGGTTTGCCTTGCGTGCTTTCCCCCTCCCTCTGCATTGCTAACTCCAGTTTTCAGCAGGAAAAAACATGCTGGTGTGCCTTGCAAAAGGAAATGTTTGACTGCTCATACAGGTCTTGTCTCTGCCAGCATCTCCCTGTCCTTGGGGCCAGAGCTTGGAGCAGTTTTCCCTCAAATCCACACTCCTGCTGCTTGGCCTGCCTTCCCCTTGTCCCTTCTGAGCTTCACTGCCTCTCACAGCCCTGTTCACGTGGGAGCTGAGCTCCAGCTCAGCCAGCAAAGGCTCAGCTGGATCCTCCTGCCAGCCCCAGCTGTCCCCAAACCTTCCCACCCCTCTGCTCTCGACCTCCTGAGCCACAGCACTGGGGACAAAAACTCTGCAGCCACTGTAGGGGCAGATGAGCTGATCCTGAGATGTTTTCAAGGTGTTTAACCCCTCCAAACACTGAACATTTTCAGAAGGAAGGAGACTGAATGTGTGGTTGAGAACAGAACATATTATCTGTAACTGACTGGGGTCAATCCAGCTTCCATTATTTTCATTTTGTAGATGTATAAAGGCACAAGACATTTGTTACACAGCAAGCAGAAAGAGCTGAAACCTGAATTCACTGCCAGAGCATCACAGCAGAGCTGCTCACCCACACATTATGCTGGGAATTGGGAATTTGGAAGGGTCTTTCCCCATGGAAAGGGTCTTTCCCCCCATCAAAATCATTAAAGCCAAGCCCTGGACATACTCTAAAGGAGCCTCAGCCTGCAGAATTTTAGTGGTGAACTCCCTGGGCATAACTCCTGGAAAATCCCACCTGGAGAAACAGGTCAGGGAACCTGCTGTGAAGTGTATCCATCTTCTCATGCTTTCAGTGTGCCACCTCCCTAATATTTGGGGTTTGTACTTATATTTATATATTCAGAAGGGGAGGGAGTGTGTTATTTACTCTCTGGGTTAGTGGCAGAGGTGTAAGAGCTCTGTACAAAATCTGCCTCCAGTTTCCCCTGTGTACCTAGAAACAGCTCTTGGGGTGTTGCAATCTGCCTGGGAGCAGTTCCCTCAAAAAAATGAGATTTTAAACCAAGCAAACACAGCTGCAGTGACTCCTTGCAGGAAAATATCCCCTGGGCAACATCTAAAGGACCATATTCTACTGATTTTTGAGAGAGTTTCCCTTATTACTCAATGTTTTACCATTTTTCTTCTGAATATAAAACATTCATCTTTATAGCCTCAGTAAGAGTGGACAGATTTGTGATAGATTTTAAGAAGAAACCTTCACTTTTTCAGTTTTGTCTGTTTTCACTTATTTCCATTCCTCTGGCAGCAGCTCCCAATGCATAAAGAATGAGGAAGAGGCACAGCAACGAGCCAGGCAGGAGTGAAAAGATTAAAGCAGCTTTATTTGCAATGATCTGCCTCAAAACACAAGGCACTGACAGGTCTGGGCAGCCAGGCAAGGCAGAGAGTCAGTCTGGATATCCCTAAAAACTCAGAGAGTCCCTAAAATCTGAGCAGGGAATCATCACCCCTGCTCCTGAGCCCTGGGGAAAGCTGGATCCCCTCTGCTGCAGGAGGGGCAAGGGACAGGGATGAGAGGAATCAGCCTCAAGACACCCCAGGGGAGGTTTAGACTGGATATGAGGGAAAATTTCTTCACATCAGGCATTGGAGCAGGATGTGCAGGACAGTGGTGGAGTCACCATCCCTGGAAGTGTCCAAAAATGTGTGGATGTGGCATGTGGGGATGTGGCTGAGTGGTGACCATGGCAGTGCTGGGCTGATGGACAGACTCACAGAACTCACAGAATGACCAGGTTGGAAAAGCCTTAAAGATCATCGAGTCCAACCCATGCCCCAACACCTCAAGATCTGATGATCTTGGAGGGCTTTTCCAACCTCAGTGACCCCACAATTCTCTAATCAGAGCAGACCCTCCCCCAGAGCTCTGAACTTTGCATTTCAATATTAAACACTTCCAACTCTCTCTGTCGTGGCTCTGCAGAAAATGGTCCCAAATTCTCTCCCAAAAAGCCTAAAAACACTTCATGCATCTTAAGAAGAGATGTGTGAGCAAGCAGTGGAGTACCTGGAAGGCAGAGCAGTGGGGCCATCACTAGGGGGTGCCTTGGGACTCCAGAAGGATTGCCACAGCTTCTCGATGTAGTGGAACTGGAGGTGCATCACCACATCCAAAGTGGCCTGACAGCAAAGAACACCTCGGGGTGAGCACTCAGCTGGAGTGCTGCCATTCACAGTAAATAATTTACATGAAAAACAACAGAACTGGCACTGCTGTGGTAACCAACTTAACATAAAACAGGTCACACAGTGGAAAAATAATCAGTATTTGGGTTGTAATTCCTGGCAAATGAAGCATTCCCAGCTTTTTCTAAGGGTGGGATATGAGCTGGTCACTTGAGTGATGTCCCATGTCAGTTAATAAATCAATGACAAATAATGCCCAAAGAATATTGCACACAATCACCTCACAGTGCCTCCTGTAGAGAACCTGCAGGGTTTTCACGTCGTTCAAGGTGAAACCTTCTTGTAAGAGGACATTACTGAGATCAGGGGCTGGGAACTCAGGAAAGACATGGGTTACATCTGGGAAAAGAAATTGGGAAAGATGGTGAGGGTTTGGAAAGCTCAAAGTACAAGGTGCTGCTGTCACTGGAGGCTCTTTCCTGTTCCAGCTGGGATGAGACAGGGAAAATGAGATAATTTAGTCCTTTTCCCTGATTTATACCAAGAAAAAGCAAACACCCACAGCCCAGTGGATTCAGTGAGGAAAGGAAAATATTTCCTTTCAGTTTGTAATAAAACAAATAAGAAAACATTATCCTCATCTACCATCCATTAGAATTTCCCCGAAAATGTCTCTCTGCTATTTAAGGAGTACAATAGAATTGGGCAGCAGAGGTGTCAGGAGCTGGGATTTGTGATGGAGACACAGATCCAGGAGCAGCAAATCCAAAAGGAGAAGCTCAATGTGGATCATTTGCACCCAGATCCCCATTGCAGCCTCTGCAAGGAAGGGAATTGCCTCCTCCTCTGGCCAGGACCTCTGCTCTTCCATGGAATTTAAATAAAACCAGATGGATTAAAAACATACTATGAGGGACCCAACAGACCCCTGAGCTCGAGGAAAAAGCCTTCCTGGGGAGACAGGAGTCAGCAGATAAACTCAGCAAGTGTGACACTACAAAAACCTATAGAACACATCCTATATATAAAATATATATAGGTGAAAAAAAAAGAAAATGCTGTAGATTTATTAGGAAAGCCCAAAAGTCAAAACTTGCTGGATAAAATCTTCCCCTTAAAGCCCAAATCCCTGATGTGGAATAATTGATCAGCAAAGGAGTTCTCACCTATGAACTGCTGGTGGTGCTGGCACTGAGCAGCCACTGACTGCTCGGGTGTGGTGTGGGGGTTGCTGTTGGAGGCACTCTCTGCCATCCCATCCATCTTCTGGGCTGCTCTGTACCTAAATCCCATCAGAATTAGGATGGATTAGATCCACACAGACAGGAGAAAACACTTAAATGTTATTTAGAACACAGATCTGTGAGCTCATGGAGTGGTTGGTACATTCAAGGCAAACATGTTGGTCATTTATACTGTGGACTCAAATGGAGGAGAAATGAGAAGCTCCTTTAGAAATGCTCCCCCAAGACAGAATTAAAGGGGCTAAGAAGTTTGGTGACACCAAAAAATCAAAAAAGAGAAGCAGAGCTGCAGTGGGTTCCGGGGCAGACTCTGTCTCAAGCACTGACTTTTGCATTTACTTTCTGTTTGGGAGCTGAAGAAATAAATTCTGCTCCTTCTGCACTTCAGCAACAACCAGAAGTGTCCGTGCTTGCAGGAGACAATTCCAAATCCTTTTCTACACTGGGTTTTATCTTTAAAATTACTCAGGCACAAGACTAATCATGACACTATTTAACTTGCATTTTGCATAGAAAAACATCCAAAACCCCCAAATCTACTCAAATACAGCACAAGCTCACCGGTCCTTCACACTGATTTGGCACCAGCATCTCCATAACTGAGATCCTAAAACATTTTGGCTGCAGGGAAGCTGTGAAAGGTGGCACACAGGGTGGAACGTGCCACTGGCAAGGAGAATAGGCAGATAAATCTCATTCCATGGAATTCCAGAAGAGTTTGGGTTGGAAAAGTCCTTTTAAGGCCATTTGGTTCAACCCCCTGCACTGAGCAGGGACATCTTCCACTAAAGCAGGTTGCTCCAAGTCTCATCCAACTTGGCCTTGCAGATTTCCAGGGATGGGGCATTACCTGGGATAGATTTTGGACCTTTCCAGAGCTCAGCTCTGGTTCTTCAGTAAGCTTTTCTGACCCTGAGATGGGGCAACTGAGAGGCATTTTAACAACTTTTATTCCATTTTCAGTCTCATGTGAAGGGTGAGACAATACAGGTGTTATAACAGTCAGAAGTTAACTATTTCCTAATTACAATACATTATACATGTTTCCTGGCCTATCAGCTTTAGCCACATCATACTGTAGATGCCTTAAAGCCAATCATCTAAAATTATTCTTTGTGGGTCCTACTACAGTGAATCTTTCACAGTTCTATTTCTCCAAAGTATCCAGTCTGATTTGCAAAACCACTCTTTGAAACTTGTGTCTATCTCCATTTCTCTCTCAACAATGTCTGTCCTATCCCATGGCATTTCTAAGTCAGTATTTCTGATCTCAAGGTTTGCATACAGATGCACACTGTGTGAGCCTTCTGTCAAGACTTTGAGAATTCCCTACAAATCCATTTCCCAAATTTCCCACTATCTCTTGAAGGGAAAAACTTCTTTGATGGTTTTGTTAATCCATTGTTGTGTACAGTGAAGTATCCAAGGTGCTATCACTAACATTGTCACTATAACAATGTATATAACAATGTATATAAACTTATAACACTGTAACAATGAATATAAACTTATACCAATGCATATAAACTTATTTTGTAGTTTTTTTCAGCTAAGGTGCAAAACTCTATCTTTTAAACAAGTTGTTTAACTACAATCTGTCACCTGTTTTAATTTGATTTGTCGAATCTCTCAATTTTTTCACCTGGTTTGAACTTCCCAAGTGGAGCCAAATCCCAGGGACCTGCTGAGTGTTTTGGGAATGGTCTGGGGGCACTACCTTTGCTTCTGGTGGATGGGCTGTTGCCTCATGGCCATGTACTGCGTGTCCTCCTGCAGGCGGTTCAGCGGCGACTCCGGCTTCAGGCGGATCCCGTAGTAGTGATATTTGGAATTTCCCCTGGAAATATCAACTCAGTCACTGACAAAGGCATTGTGGCCCTGGTTGCTTGGTCAACACACCCCACTTCGTGCAGCACACGGCTGCCAAGCTCTGTTTGAGTGGCTGAAGGGATGAATTTGATGCCTCAGGTTGGAGCTTTTCTATGTTTCAGGTTCTGTGCTGCTTTAGTGGGTGGGTCTGGGCTTCACATGAGGGGATGCTGAGCTCTCTGCACAGAGCAGGGAGACAAAACAATTCCTGCTCCAGCTGGGCACCAAGGACAAATGATCCAAATCTCAGGCCAAGAGCACAAACAACGTGGAATGAAGAGAGAAGAACAAGCAGGATGGGACTGCCTGGGCTGGAGCTGGAATTGGACAATGAACTCCAATGTGCAAATGGAGCAGAACTGATCAAAGTGAGAGGCCCCGTGAGCAGTTGTGCATTTTGGGACCATTTTGGTTCATTTTTGGGTGCAGCCCTGGCTGGGCTCTTGTGCTGCCCAAGGTGGATCTATTGAGGCCTTTTAATAAATCCCTGCTTTATTCTTTAGCTCTGTCCATCCTCTGTTCTAGGTCAGCCTTCCCAAGGCATCAAACCACTGAAATGCCACCATCCCCTAGAAAATTTAAGCCCACATGGGGCCAAGTGCAGTGGCATCCACACTTAAACCTGGCCAGGCTTGTTCCATGCAGCCCATGGTGCCTGGGGAAGAGAGGAGGGAAGTGCTACAATAAAAAGTGTTATTAAACAGAGTGACTGTAGGACCACAGGGGACACTTTGCTATTTGTTGAGGGTTTAGGGATTTGTTTTTTCCACAAAAGCAAGTGTCCATCTTTATCCAGACTTGGATAAAACTGACTGAATGTCCCTCTATGAAAAGAAAAATGTCTTTCTGTTGCCAGCACTTCTGCAGCAACAGCACCAAGCTTTGATGTGGTTTTGTCCTTGGAGCTGCTCATTTTTGTAGGTTTTGTAAAAAATGAAAGCTTTTAGCCACAGGAAGCTGGAATTCTTTCTCTTTTGCTGCTGTGGTGCTCCTTAGGAGGGTGTGATCCCACCACATTAGAGAGAGATGTGTCAGCTGAAGTTTTTCCACCAAACTGGAATTTTTTGGTCCCAGTGGGAGCGAGGACAGTTCTGCAGCCATGGACACGTGGTGACAGCATGTCCAACTTGGCTTCAGCCCATTTGTCACCAAAAATGGGTGAATTGAGTCCTCAGAGGGAGAAGAAACCAAGCCAGGGAAGCACCAACAGCATCTCCAGAGCACAGAGTAGGGATGCTTAAAATTCCTCTGCTGTGTCACTAAAACTGGGACTGGAGGCACCTTAAATCCAAGGATGCTTCCCATTGGAAAATTAAAGAAATGTAAGAGGAATATTTATCAAATTGGGTTCTCTTTTGTGGGGAATTTGCTCTTTTCAAGGGCCCAGTTGAATTGTTGGGCCTTTGTCACTGCACCAAAGGATTTTACACACACCCCATAGTCAGCCCTGTCCCAAGTGATTTAGGTGCCTGCAAATTAAATAACAGCCACCTTTATAACCTAAAATTACAATGAGTAAGAAAATAATGGGGGTCAGCTCTTTCTACAGTAATTGAGGTTCACTGTCACTTTCCCAGCCTGCACATTTCCAATTTTCAGTGTGGCTTTTTTTTCCCCTCACTTGTTTATTCTTTAATCCTTGATGGGATTAAAGAATTTCTCTCCTCCAAAAAAAAATTACTTCAGAGCTCTTGAGTTTGACCCAATAGAGAGAAATCCAATGTTCCCCTGCTCTTCCTACAACTGTTATCTCCACGTTCCAGATGTGGAATGCCCTTGTCACATCTGGTTTTGTTCTCATTTAAAAGCCCAGATATTTAAGCTTGAATTTTATTATAAAATCTTCAACAATCAGAGCAGTGACTGTTTTACAAGCGATATATTACTCACTTCTTAAATATTCTAAGCTGGGATAAAGTTCACACTCAGCTGTGCTCCCTTGAAGGACATGTCTGGAATTACAGGAGTTTATTTTCTCATGTTACACTTTTCTTGTAACATCTTACAGATCTTTGACAGTTTTGAAGATAAAACCCTCTTGCAAGATACCCTAATCCTTTGGGTATCTCAGAAATAAACCATTTAATAACTTTACACCTTGTCTGCATCAAAGCTGTGGGCACAGGGTCTGTCATGGGGGATCTTGTGATGGGGGCACAGGGAGAAATTGCTTCAGTGACCCAGAATTTTGGGCTCTGCAGTGGAAATTGTGAGGATGAGTCACCTCATGTTTGTCAGACAATACAGAATCCCAGAATATCCTGATTAGAAGAGATCACAGTGGTCAGTGAGGCCCTGCACAGCCACCCCAACAATCCCACCCTGAGAGCGCTGTCCAAACGCTCCTGCAGCTCTGGCAGCCCTGGGACCATTCCCTGGGGAGCCTGGGCAGTGCCAGCACCCTCGGGGGGAAGAACCTTTCCCTGAGCTCCATGCCAACTCCCTGACACATCTCCTTGGTGTAATGAGATCCTCATGAGATGAGAACCACTTTAGCTTCACATCAAATTTTCCCACCGGATCGAGGTCGGTTGTTCCCGTCGATCCCAGAATGTAAAAGGGTTTTAAAATCATGGGGATTTAGGGTTAAAAGGAAAATTTAGCTTAGTAGGCCCTGGAAAAATAAACACCCTAAGCACATGAAGAACTTGTACTTGGTAGAACTGCACCTGTGTAGCTAGTACATGATAGAAGATATAATTGTTAGATGTGATGATTGGTTAGTAATTAAATATAATTACTGTTTAATCATAAGAACAATCATGAGAAACTGTGGTCAGGGGCCTAAGAAAGATCACGAGAAGCTCATGTCAATGTATACAATAGAACAATATAAGTTTATGTTACAGTGAGCTCATGGGCACTCTATTTCCCCTTCCCCGGGACCCTGTGGCTCTGATCAGATAACCCTGGACCCTCCTTCCTGCCCTGACAGGGCTGGTGGAGAGCCAGGGAAGCCCACCCTGTCCAAAGTCTGTACAGACCCCTGACATTTCCTGTTTGTTCTCTTTTTGCCCTGCTCTCCCCATGGACACCACAGAATAAAGAGAGCTGAACCAACATATATCAGGGTAAGAGCCTCTTTTGGGAATCTTTGCCATCTCCTGATATTCCTCCCCTCACAGCCTCGGACCTCTGGGCTAGCCTGATATTTAGTGGGCTGTGCGAGGGGGGGAATGTCAAGTTTAATAATTAATATGTAAGTTATATAAGGATAGAATACAAAATATGTTCAGCTCAAAAGCTGTGTCCGAGTCAGATTTGGGGCTGTACCCCTGATTCCCAGAGCTCTCAATAAAACCACCTGCATGGAATCACATCCCGTGATTATTTGTGTTCCTGAACACTGACAAGAAGAGAAACACCTGAACCTCCCAAAGACCTTCAGCAGGTTCTGAGTGCACTAAAAATGCTGCAGGTGGGTTGCTTTTTGGTTTTTTGAAGTGCAGCTTGCCACCAACCTGGTGCCCAGGCGCCGAGTCCTCAGCCCCATGAAGACGGAGCGGATGAGTTTGCCGAAGGAGGCGGCGTTGACGGGGTCCAGCTTGTGCTCCTGGCAGTGCCTCAGGTAATGGTTGTACAGGGAGCTCCGGGGCAGGCTCACTCCTTCTGCTGTCTCGTAGTTATCCAGCAGCCACTGCAGCTTCAGCCAGGGAAAAAATAAAGAACACGCAAGTCTAAAAAAGGGATGGGATGTCAGCAGAGTCGGCGTTTTAAAAGGTCCGGATGGAGAAGTTCAAGAGAACTGGATAATTAATTGATGTAAGTTAATTCGTATAATTTGTCATTTATAGTATTTTATAAGGTGGCAAAAGGCAGTTTATAGGATGGAAAAAGCACCCGGCACAAACAAAACTAGTCAGATTTTTCATTAAAACACAGTTCTGCTGTCACCTCAGTGTCCACCTCGGGTTCAGATGAATTCCTGCAGAACCAAAATAAAGCTGTAAAAATACACATTTTCCAAGGAAAAGAGATCTTGAGATACTGCCTAAGAGAAATAAATTTTAGGGGAAGAAAATTGATGCAAGGTCTTTATTAATTGGAAGACTGGCATGCCTGCAATGGCTCCCTTAACAATAAAATTAATGGTTGCCAAAGCAACCTTCAAAATCTGAGGGAATTCATCTACTTTGCAAAATTTACTGTCTGAACTTCTGACATGGCTGTTGATTAAAATTTGCAATTAATATAAATTATTTATACCGAGATACTCTGAAAGGGCAGGTCCAGCACATGGTGTCAGCACAGGAATTCAAATGCAAAGCCCCCAATAATCTCCTTTAATTGACTAAATGACTTCAGCATCAATCAAATGAGTGTTGTAATAATTGAATTTTGGAAGGAACTGGATGTACACACAGACTAATATCAAAAGGGTGGGTAAGAGTCTTTCACTGTCATGAGGGATGTCTGGGATTAATAGTTTGCAGGATTCTCTCTCCCTCCAGATCTCCTGCACCAGAACCAGCTGCATTCCCAGCAGATCAGGGCAAAACAGATTTTGGATTGTGGAAGCCAAATATCAGCCACAGCATCTCCATACAACTGAGAGTCCAAGCAATTATGGGACCTGAGCATGGATTTAGCCCAGAAATCAGTGGGATTTGCCAAAGCCCACGGGTCTGCACCCAAACCCTCTCATTCCCACCACCACTCTCTTTTCTCCCATTTCCTCTTGGTGACACTCCAAGGTCCCAGTTCACCACAAGGCTGGAGGTTCACACCAATAATTCTCTGAAAGACACCCTGAGCTGTGTGATGGCATCTCGGGCATCTCTCTGGTGTCCCACCCTGCTCTCACACGGAGCCTTGCAGCCCCTCAGGGTGAGCTCTGTGGGTCTCCTCCACACGCCCACACTTCAACTGCTGCTGCACAAAGTCAGCTGGATCCAACACTTTAAACCCTACAACTAAAACTATTCCATTCAGCCTGGAGAGGAGAAGCTCCAGGGAGAGCTCAGAGCCCCTGGCAGGGCCTGAAGGGGCTCCAGGAGAGCTGGAGAGGGACTGGGGACAAGGCCTGGAGGGACAGGACACAGGGAATGGCTTCCCAGTGTGAAAGGGGAGAATTTTGTGGGATATTTGGAAGGAATTGTGGGTGGGGAAGGCCTGGAGTGGAATTCCCAGAGCAGCTGTGGCTGCCCCTGGATCCCTGGCAGTGCCCAAGGCCAGGCTGGACAGGGCTTGGAGCAGCCTGGGACAGAGGAAGGTGTCCCTGCCATGGCACTGGATGGGCTTTGAGGTTCTTCCAACCCAACCCATTCCATGATTTGTCAGCTGGAGCTGATCCAAATCCAACCACAAATTCCTGTGGCTGCATCCATCAGCTCCGGCAGGAAGAAAAACCTCCTGGCCACTTGTCCCTCTGTGCTGCTTTTGAGGAGCCTCTTCTCCTCCTCCCAGCTTCTCCCAGCTCCACACGGCCCAGGACGATCCTTGAGGTGATCTCCAAACCCCACAGCTCCAAGAGATGCTTCGTTAATAATCCATAATGACCCTTCCTGCTCCCACCTGCAGCACAGACACCCCTGGAAGCCCCAAAAAATCTTCCTGTGGCGCTGAGCCTCCTCCAGCCATTCTGTTCCCTCTAACAAAAGTGGACCCCAGTTTTTGTTTTTGTTTTTTTTTTGCCATAAAACACCAGCAGGAATTCACTTTTTAAGTTGTCCACATTTATGCTAATTTTGGCCCATCCCCTATGTTTAAGAGATTATTGCTTAAGATCCTTTCAAATTTTTAAAGCAGGTATTTTATTTAGCCTATGGAAGATAGTGAATGTGCATCAGCTATTTATCTCCTAAATCTTAAGCCTTAAGCCTTAAAAAAAATATAAAAGCTGTGTATTACGATGGAAAATCCAGATACAGATAAACCCTCTCATTTCAATTTGATCCTGAGCATTTTTATTCTAATCTCTGATATTTCTAGAAGATTCCCTTCATCTCCCAGCTTCCTTTTCCTGCAAATGTCTTTTTATATTCCCTCAAACACTGCAGAGTTTCACAATATGAACTCCCACTATTGAATTAGAAATTTATTATGAACAACACAAAAGAGCTTGAAACAGAGATCTGTCAGAATTGAAATAATTTTCCAAATGTGATTTTTGTTCTTCCTTCACAACTAATAACACACTGGGCAGTTAAAATGAAAAAATTAAAAACTCTTTCCATTTGAATCTCTTCTTCTGTTTGCTTTCTGAATTTTGCTCAGTTGTGACAATGAGATATTCCCCAGTTTATTTCTGTTTATGCCATCATCAGGTTCAATAAAATCACTCTACATCCATATGCTGCTGTGGTTGTTATTGGCACTACAGGGGAACATTTAATTTTCATTTCTACCTTAACTTTATTTCTATCTGACTGTTTGGTTTCTTTTGAAAAAAAAACACTGGCAAAGCCCTTATCCTGTTTTGATCTGAGGGTGGAAAAAGCCACTCTTGGGGCTGGCTGCGAAAATACTTTTTTTTTTTTTTTTTTTTTGGGAAGGTGCAGGTTTGGAGAGGTTTTCTTGTGGTCACCTCTATGAAATATAAAAAATAAATCATTCGTGGGTCATATTTCAGGTGTTTTTAGCTGAGACCACGAGCAGCAGGCTCCTAAATTTCTACTCAGTTGAGCTCAGAGTTAGGACAGAGCCATTCACTCATAGGAAAGAATTCCAGTGGGGGTTATTTGGTGTTTTTTGCTATTTCATTTTGCAGACAATGAGGAAAAATTACATTTTCTCCCTACTCCTACTCATGCTGTGGATATCCCACTGCCACAGGGCCTCAACTGCTCCAACTTCAGGCTCTTGTGTTCAAAAATTGCAGTTATTTTTACTTATTTTTCTCTGATTTCTTTGCATCATCTGCAAGATCCTAACTGGCAAAGAAATAATCCCAATCCCAAAGAAATAATCTCAGAAATAATGCCACTGTCAGTCACACATGGTTTCAGCAGAACCATCCCGTGTCACTGGGGCTCAGCAGGAGCTTCACCTTCCCACTGCACATCTCAAGTGCACTTAAAAAACCTCTCAGGGAGGTTTGGAAGCCAAATTCAGTTATCAAGCTTCATTTCATATTGATTTGAGTTAAATTATATGAAAAATTCCCTGTGGAATGAGATACCTTTAATTGTCCTCTTGTTTTTTTGAAAACCCCAAAGATTCCTGGCATGAACCACCTGCTGATGGTAACAAAATAAACCTCATCATCCCAAGAATTTGCACATTTCCAAAAAGCCAAATTTAAAACAAGGGACACAAGACAATGAAGAACTCTGCAACCTTAAAACTCAGAGCAATTAAGCCACAACTAAGTGCAATTAGCATCATCTCCCCACTTCCTCTTGCTTTTGTCAAGCTGGAATTTGCTTTCAGCCTTGACAGATTGCAGTCACCTGCTCCTCCAGCACAAGCCTGCCAATCCTGTGTGCCAGCCATGGGGAATTTGGGATGGGTGAAGCTCTCCCTGCTGTTGTGGTTTTGCTCTTTGCCATGAAGAGGTGAGATCTGGAACACCTTGGAGAGCAGAATTCTCCCTTCTGTACCACAGCATGAGCTGGGTTCAGCACTGGTTGTCACTGGGATGTCCCACACCTGCACTGGGTGCCAGCTCTGGCCACCTGCAGTCTCCAGGTGGTGGCTGCTCCATCCCTGGAGCATCCAAGGCTGAGTTGGACAGAGCCCTGAGCATCCCTGGAGCATCCCAGGCTGGCTTGAAAAGAGCTCTGGGCATCCAAGGCTGGGTTGGACAGAGCTCTGAGCATCCCTGGGGCATCCCAGGCTGGGCTGGAAAGAGCTCTGAGCATCCCTGGAGGACCCAAGGTGCGTAGGACAGAGCTCTGAGCATCCTGGAGCATCCAAGGCTGGGTTGGACAGAGCTCTGATCATCCCTGGGGCATCCCAGGCTGGCTTGAAAAGAGCTCTGAGCATCCAAGGCTGAGTTGGACAGAGCCCTGAGCATCCCTGGAGCATTGCAGCCTGGCTTGGACAGAGCTCTGAGCACTCTGCTTTGGTGGAAGGTGTCCCTGCCCATGGCAGGAGGTTGGAATTAAATGAGAATGAGCTTTAAGGTCCTTTCCAACCCAGACCATCCTGGTCCAGCTTCCTGCTCACATCAGGGTGCCCTTCCATGGGCTCAGATCCCCGCTGGGCAATGGCACTGCAGCTGCTCCAGCTCTGGAACTGCCTGAGCTGGCTCCCCAATGTGCTGTGTCCCCTTCAGGCACTGCTCATCCCTCTTTTCATTCCCACATGTCCCCAGACACCTCCCTGAGCAGGGACACTGGGGACAGCAAGGACCCTGGAGGGTTCCTCAGCTCAGGACCTGCACCTTCAGAGGGCCCAGCTGAGGGTGATGTGTCACTCAGGAAGGAGTTTGCTTGCTCCAGAGTTTGTAAGAGCACTTAAACCTTAGGTCAGACAAGGAACCATGGCCTAGAACCAGGGACATCAAACTCTGCACTTCTACCCTGCAAGCCCAGGGTGGGGAAGGTCTGATCAGGGGCTGGCTGAGGCCCCCACTCCATCCTGCACAGCCTGTGGTCACTGAAATCTCTTTTCTACCTTTTGCACTCTTTCCTCTGCCCTTTTTCTGAGTTTTTTTTCAAACTTTGTCCTCGATGAACAAGAAAAACCTTGCAGAGCAACACAATCCTTGTGCAGCACTTCAGGAGTGTGAGCCTGGCCCAGCCTGGGGTGGGAGGGATGCCCAGAACAAGAACTGCCTGATCCTGCAGGTTGTGTTTCCCCAGCTACAACCAGAAACCTTCACTCTCCACCAGCTGAAATAAAGACTGAGCTCCCCCACGAGCCCTGACCTGGAGTTTGAAATAAGAATTAAGAATCAGACTGGTCTAAAGCTCCTTTTGTTGTCTCAGGAACAGTGAAGAAGCCAGATATTTTTATTTTTTGCCCTAAGAATGACAGCAAACCAGCCCCTAACCCCAGAGCAAACCTGTTAGAATAGAGAAACACCACTTTGTGCATGGGATTTATGGGTGCAGGACATGCTTGAGCTTCATCCAAACACAGGGAAACCAAGGCAGGTCCAGGGACTCAACCCAAATCTCACCCAAGCATGTGCTCATCCCTCAGTGCTCCTGCATGGAAGCCACAAACCAGGATGCAAAGGCCCAGCAGAACAGTGGGAATATCACACAAAGCAGGGAAATCGTTGGCAGAGTGAGAGAGAGGCCCAGCACATGGATTTAGCACAGCACTGGGACAGGAATGGGCTTCCTGAGGCAGAGAGAGGGGAAAAAAAAGGCATTTTCAGGCTTTTGGTGTGTGCTGGCTGAGGGGAATCTGTCACAACTCACACCGAGTCATGGCTGTGCATTCACAAATGATTTTTCAGCCGTGTTTCAGTTCCAATAAAAGGAATAAAACTTCCTCAAATGTGTTCATCTGGCTGCCAGCAACTTCCGTTGCAAGGCAGATGAAATAAATAAACCCATATTTATATTTATTATAAATAAAGAAAATAACAGAATCCTGAGCATCTCAGCAGCAACCATTATCATGGCACTTTTTGCAGACTATTTTTCCTGGGGAATGGGCTGTTTTGGGCAGCACAGCTCAATCACAGGCTGCTTTTGAGTGCCTCCTGCTGTTGAATACACCAAAGAAATAATTCTCCTACCAAAGCAGGGGAAAAGGTTGTAAATTCTGATTGTAACTTACATGGCTGTTGAGCAAACTGCTTTTGTGTGATGTAATCCCTTCATTTTTTTGTAGGTTTTCAATCGCCATTTCAAGCTAAAGGAAAAATCGTGCATAGGAGAGAGAAAAAAAAAAGGAAAAAGAAAGGAAATCAGATAGTTAGCAACAGCCAGGATTATTGTTTCTTTATTAATATTTGAATGATTAATGCTTTATATCAACAAGCTTGTGAAAAAGAGGCAAACAGATGTGGATGGAGCTGCAGAGGCGTTACTGGGACATGCAAATGGACACACAGCAGGAATCCCCACAGGGGTGACAAAGCAAGGCCAGGGGGGTTCATCTTCCACTAAAGCACTGCCTATTTACAAAAAAAAAAAAGCCATTTTCCTCCTCTTTTTCCCTTCCTGCTGAGAGCAAACCATCACCAGGCAGAGCCACTGCAGAGACTGGCTGCAGAGTTGGACCCAGGCTTTCCAAGGAGAGCTGGCAGTAATGACTTAGTTACTGTCACCTCTTCATATTTTGTCAAAAAGCCCTAAAAAAATTAAATAATAAACCTCAAGAATTAAATAAAGCAAGGAGAGTGCATGAACTAGAATGGTCAGAGATTGGCTGCAGAGTTGGACCAGGCCTTCCAAGGTGAGTTGGCAATAATGATTTGGTCACCTCTACATATTTTGTCAAAAACCCTAAAAAATTGAATAAAGCTGGGGTGCAAGGAGAGAGCATGAACTGTAATGGATGAGGGCTCTCTGCTGCCTTGTGCCTCTCCTGAACCCTTCTTGTCTTCTCCACTCTGCTCCTGGGCCAGATTCTGGGAAGCTCCTTTAGCAGATGGTTGCTGGTCCCAAAACTCCAGAGCTCCTCTACAAGCTTTTTGCATGAAAAAAAAAAAAAATCCTCAAAACTCACCAAACCCCACATTAGAGCCTGGCAGGAGCAGAACCTGTTTGTCTCCAGCAGATGTTCCCAAACCCTGTTTGACATGTCCCAAACCCTGTCTGAGGTGTCCCATACCCCTTCTGAGGTGTCCAAAACCCTGTTTGAGGTGTCCCAAACCCCTTTTGACATGTCCCAAACCCCATTTGAGGTGTCCCAACCCCCTTCTGACATGTCTCAAACCCCGTTTGAGGTGTCCCAAACCCCGTTTGAGGTGTCCCAAACCCCTTTTGACAGGTCTCAAACCCCTTTTGAGGTGTCCCAAACCCCGTTTGAGGTGTCCCAAACCCCGTTTGAGGTGTCCAAACCCCATTTGAGGTGTCGCAAACACCTTTTGAGGTGTTCCAAACCCCATTTGTTGTGTCCAAACACCTTTTGATGTGTCCCAAAAGCCATTTGTGGTGTCCAAACCCCTTTTGAGGTGTCCCAAACCCCTTTTGACATGTCCCAAACCCCATTTGAGGTGTCCCAAACCCTGTTTGAGGTGTCCCAAACCCCGTTATCTGTGCCCTGGCAGGACAAGGCAGCAGCACACAGAACCTGCAGCCAGAGCTCTGCTCTCTGTCCTCATTTAACCCTTGTGGGCACACCCACAAAGCATCTGCAGATGATCTGCCCATGGCCTCCTGCCCACATTGACTCACCCCACAGTGGAGATTAGGGCTGAGATAAGACCAGCCCTAACAAAGCCAGGCTCTGTCCCAGCAGGGTGGTGAGCAGAGCACATCAGACCCAGCTTCTGAAGTGACATGTGAAGGTGGCACCACCTCCAGCACAGTGCCTTGGCTCCCACCCCGAAGTGGAGCTACTTCTTGAGGTGTTCTCACCCCATTCAGGCTCAGATTAGTGGGGTTTCACTGCCTCACACCATGATGGACCAGGAGGAAGCACAGCCTGAGTGCTGACACAGCTTCAGGAAATGAGTCAGAGGTGGAGGGAGACCCAATTTCCTTCCTCTGCTCAGGGGCTGTTTGAGCAGCAGAACAGAAACGCTGCCTGGCCTTTGCTGTTGGCAGGTATCCCATCCAAAACCTTGCATCTGCAATAAAATCTATTTACAGGGGAAAGACCAAAAGCTCTTAAGCAGCTCTGAAGGAAGGTGAAGAGCTCTGAGGACCCACTTATGGGAGGTCTCAAGGATTTCCTCTCTTGGTCCAGACTAATTTAGGTGAAGATTAATAGTGCTGTGTTGGCACAGATATTGAATGTTCCCTGTGCTGCTTCAGCCCATATGCTGGAGCACAATATTGGTGTTCCAGCAGAGAGGGAAGATTTCCTAAGAGGTTTCTTGAAGTATCTGAATTTTTTTCTTTAGTGCACACACAAGTTTTACCAAACATCTTTCAGCTTCGTAAAGCAGCTCTTGGACCACTGCTAGTCCTGAAGTACTCCCTTGTTTCCATTCTCCTCTGGAGGTGCCTTCTTTGCCTTCCAGACCTCCAATCCCTCTGTTTCCCCACCACTGACCACTCTGAGCTCTGCTTTCCTTTCCTCCCACAGAGCTCCCAATCCTGCCCCACCACATTTTGCCAGAGCCCCTCTGGCCTCCTTAACACCAGCCTTTGTTTAGGCTGGACATTAAAACAGAAAATAATGTTCCAGCCCATGGATTTGATTCAGTCCCTGCTGTCCTTAAGGCACCCATCCTTTCTGGTGGGTGCCCAGAGCAGCTGTGGCTGCCCCTGGATCCCTGGAAATGTCTCAGGCCAGGCTGGACAGGGCTTGGAGCAGCCTGGGACAGTGGGAGGTGTCCCTGCCATGGCAGGGGTGGCACTGGGTGGGATTTAAGGTCCCAAACCAAATGACTCCAGGATTAATTCCAAGCAGTCAAGGCTCTGCTCCACCTCACTCTGTGCTGGAAGGACTGACAGCCACACACAGACACAGCCCTGGGCTGCCTGCCAGGCTTTTTCCCACCTTTTCCAGCCCTTCCTCAGATATTTTGTGTTAAAATACCTTCAGAAAGCTCATTCCTACATGCAACAGAGTGAATTTATCTCAGATGTATTTCCACAAAGGTCGCTTTCTAATTTTTTTTTTTCCTGATGAACAGCCTTATCTCATATAATAACTACCAACTAAATCCATTCATGGGATATTTCTACTGACATATTTTCCACTTGGGCTTTTATATTGTGCTCATCACCATGGAAATTACAAAACCCCCAAACAACAACAACAAAAAAGTCCCCCAAAATTCCAAGAGTAAAGTTGTGCAGTTTTGTAAGATGCAGTCCCACACAGGTGATGCTTCCAAATATTAACTTTGAGCAAAAACCAAATGGTCCAGTGCTAATTTTTAACTATGAACAGTTAAAATACACACACACACACACACACACACACACACACACACAATTCTCACCCAAGAAAAGAACCTCAGCATCTGTCATTTTCTCTTCCACCCAAACCAAGGACTTTTCCCCTGTGCCTACCCAAGGCAGAGCACAGTTACTACAGGAGCAAATCAACCTTTCAAGGCACAAAGATTCAAAAAACATAAAGTCTATATTCTAAAACTCAGTGGGAAAATAAAGTACAACTTAACAGGCTAGATTTCCATGAGTTCTCAGTGGCAACAGCTCCTGTTTTTCTCCCTAGTGATGCTGCTCACATTTTAAATTCTGGCTACATCCCCTGAATTGCACCTACACTAGTATTTATATTTATATATGAATGCATAAACACACAGAAGTCTGCAGAGGGAGGTGAGCAGTGTCCCAGGAAATGAGCTCCAAGCACTCCTGGCAGCTGCTAAGGGCTGGGAGATTCCCAAATCAAAGCCCTGGTGCTTCTTTCTGCAAAAAGGCTGTTTTGGGTGAAGAGCTGTAAGCCCTCAGTCCCACACAGCTGGCAGCTGGAGGGACACGATTTAAAGAAATCAGAACTTTAAACCATTTCTGTTTGATCAGTATTACCCCTAAAAGACATTTTCTGAACATATGGCAAGGACAGAATACACAATGGTGTAGAAGATATATACACAAAGGCTTTTTGATCACTGTGCACTCAGCATCATCAGCTTGACATAACTTATGTGCTAATTAGCCAATGGGTTAAGGAAGAATTTCTCAGGTCTCTTCATAATTGAAGATATATTTCAATATTTTGGGTAAGCATGTGTTAGATGTTTGACTTATCAGAAAATATAAATAGATACAAATTTACATTAGAAAATGTAAACACAGACAAATCTTTAAAAGCCAAAAATATTTTTTTTGGTAAGGAGAAAAAACAAATCAAATGATTTATTAATATGCTGGTTTATGGTTTATCAAATGCTTTATTAATATTTGAATTATTAGTGTTTTCTCTTCTCTAATGCTGCATAATTTCAGTGATTTGCTGAGCGAAAGGGACAATCCAAACTGAAAAATAATTGTGGTACACCAGTGTCTATTCTCTCCCTTGCACCAAGGCAGGTTACAGACATAAACAGTGATAATGACAGGTCAGTTTAAGTTTCTGAAGGCTTTTCAGTTCCCTTTGGAATCATTCCTGGCCCCCGAGCCGTGGTGCCTGCAGGGCTACATACCGTTGCTGGAGAGGAGCGTGAGGTGTGGGACAGAGAATGTCTAGAGTTCTCCAGCCCCCCATGAATGAGATAGGCTCCCGAGCCGGAGAGGATCTGACTTCCCCCAATGTCCATGGTGATGCCCACCATGTTGTGAGAGGGAATGGCTGTAGGAGAGGATGTCGCTGTAGTCACCTGAGCTCCACCTCCTCCCTGCGCTTCGAAATAGGGCGCGGCGCCGGCGGGGGCGTAAATCTGCGCCTCGCTGCTGTAGGAGTAGGCAGCTCGTCTGTGCAGGGGACAAAAGAGAGGAGCTGGAACAGGGAATCCTGTGTTGGACAGCTTCAGGAAGCTGGGGAAGTGTCAGAAAACCCCTGGTGTTATAGGTCAGCCCTTAGGTCAGAAAACCCTGGTGTTACAGGTGTTCCCCACCGAGAAGATGATTCTCGTTCGCAGCCCCGTAGGTATGGTAAGGTGGGAAGAGGAAAGCCATACCACACCCCCATCATTCCTCAGGTGACTAAAGAGCAGGACCAAATTTGCCTCTGTAATCCCATTTTTTCCATTTCTCAATAGGATTTTTCCTGTTTCCACTGTAAGATTATGGCCCTGCTTCAAATGGCAGCCCCATAAATATGGTAAGGTGGGACAGGAAAGCCATACCACACCCCCATCATTCCTCAGTTGTCCCTTAATCCTACACAGACTAAAGAGCAAGACCAAATTGGCCTCTGTAATCCCATTTTGTCCATTTCTAAATAGGATTTTTCCTGTTTCCACTGTAAGATTATGGCCCTGCTTCAAGTGGCAGCCCCATGGGCATAGGAAAGTGGGAACTAGAAAGCCTTACCACACCCCCATAATTCCTCTTAATCCAACAGAGACTAAAGAGCAAGATCAAATTGGCCTCTGTAATCCCATTTTGTCCATTTCCAAATAAAATTTCTCCTGTTCCCACTGTCCTCGCCCACATCCACAGGTGCTGGTAAAATTATTTTCATTTATTTTTTTGAGAAGGGTAAACCATCCAAATCAAAATAAGAGTTAACTGTTCGAGCCAAATGAAGTATAGAAAAGGAAAAGGGGGGTTGTTATAGGTAAGTAATTGTAATAGTTAGCTCTCATTATTAAGAGATAGGTATTTTGTAAATAAGCCACATGGCTGGTAGTCATGGGGACTCCCAGTGCTGAAAACCTTTTCCTTATTAAAAAAATTATTTAAAAAATATTAAATTCCTGATTAAAAAAAAAATATTTGTTGTAATATTTTTTAAAGATTTAATAAACCTTTGAAATTCTAGAAGTGAGCAGTTGTTTCTCACAGTCTTTGGGGTTTGCTCTGTTGGAATGGGAACAATCAGCCCTGCAGCACAAGCTCACAGTGAGGGCAGCTCCTTGTGAGGAACTGGGGTGAGGAAGGCCAAAAGGAGGCACAAAATGGGGCACAGGAGGCAGGAGGAAGAAGAAATTCTAAGGGCAGAGAGGCCCTGGCACAATTTTGGCTGCTCCATGCCTGGAAGTGTCCAAGGCCAGGCTGGACAAGGCTTGGAGCAGCCTGGGATGGTGGAAGGTGTTGGGGAGTTGGAAGGAGATGGGCTTTAAGGTCTTTTCCAACCCCAACCATTCTGGCATTCCTTGACTATATAAAATATTCCAACACCCCTTTTTCCCTCTAGAAGTTCCACTTCTAAAGCTGCTCATGTCACCACACAAAGGGGAGCAGGATTCCCTGGAGAACAATCCCTCCATGAGGACAACACCCCCAGGGCTGGAAACCACCCTCACCCCCACCACAACACCTGAAACAGCTGCTGCTCCTCCTCCTCCTCCTCCTCCTCCTCCTCCTCCTCCTCCTCCTCCTCCTCCTTCCACGGTGGGGCTGGGGAGGAAGGAGCCCAGGGGAGGGAAGGGCTGGGAGGAGGGATGGGGACAGCTCAGAGAGGTTCTTACATGGTTCCATTGGTGTAAACAGCTTCTCCTCCTTCCACATACTGCACCTGGGCTGGATAAATGTGCTGCACAGACTGCACCTGCAACAGGCAGCAAGAAGTCAGGGATTGCTCAGGAGCTGCTGGTTAAACTGCACAGCTCTAACCTTTGAAAAAAAATTTTAAAAAAAAATAAAACACCCTCCTGCTCCCCCTCCCCTGCCCCTCCATGCTTAGGAACGCCAAAGGAGGTTTTTATTTTCAAAGGTCAAGTTAAAATAGATAAATAAGTGGCTGCTCCATGAGAAGTGGAACAATGGAGCTGGGTTTTCTCTGGACATGTGTTTTGGGGCTGATTAATAGGGGTGAGCTCATGCTGCAGCCTTTCCTTCAGAGGGGAGCCTTAGTGTCCAAGTGCACCCCAGCCCCCTTTTTTGTTGCCCTGGGAGGGAAGGAGTTGCCCTCTATCAAATTTTCTTCCCCCTGAAATGGAGCCACCGAACAAAAAAATCACTAAAGGAAAAAAATTAAGAGGGTCAGACTCGCTGTCCACATGGAGCAGCAGCACATATCCCTGGTTTCTTAGGAAACAAGCCCTGGAAAAGGCAAAGTTCAAATAAATAAAAACACTTGCACGGCTCTCTGGCACCAAACCATTTTATGGAGCCACGTGCAGGCAGCGAATTTGTTTACTTAAAAAAACAACCCAAACATTTTGCCTCTAAAAAACATCCTTACTAAAGGAGATTGCTTTTAATTTAACTTTGATTTGATAAATGCTTTTAAATTTAAGTTGAAAGCACCCATCAAATGTTCAAATACATGAAAGACAACTGCTACAACAAAGGTTCTTACTAAACTTCAAATATCTTGAGAGTTTCTTTTGTCATCAGTCTAAGAAAGGAGGAGAGAACTGGAGAAAGTGGTCCCAGCTCTGTGACTGCCCACAAGACTTTAATTAAGATTTTTCAGAAGTGAGCCTGGGGAGCTGCTGGTGCTGGGGTGTCTGTCCCAGTGCTCATTACCTGCTGTGGAACCTGCTGGACTCTGGGAACAGAGATTTGCTGCATCTGAGCCCCTTTGGGAGCGGAGCCTGTGGCTTGGACCAAAACCCTCTGCAAGAAGAAGATACAGGAGGAGACAATTTTAGTGCATAACACAGGTGAGCCAGGTGTTCTCTTCCAAAATTTCATGGCCAACTTGCCCCTGACACCAGCAGCAGCAGTGGCATCCTGTAATCAGTGGTCCCCACCCTCCTGTGGGATGCACCAACCTGAACTCAGCCCCCTGAATTTGGGCAAATTTCTGACAGGAATCATCTTTAAACCTCCATGAAAGGAAGCAGCAGTTCATTGATAAGCTCAGGCACAGCTGAGCAAGAATCACTCCTCACATATCCACATTTGGCTGCAAAGCTCCTTCTCTTAGAGCTGCTAAACCAACCACACTCTGTCTCCTGCAACAAGGAATCCCACCCAGCTCCTGCCAGCACCAAAGCTCAGGTGGTTCTGCTTCTCCCTGCAGGGCCACCACGGGCACAGGGACATTTTGTGGTGGTGGCTCTGTCACTTCCATCATCCCTGTCTTACACTCCACTTTCAGTCTGAGGTTGTCAGAACATCTCAGAGTGCTCAGCACCTTCAGATCCAGCAAAACAAACGTGGGGATGTGGTGGATGGAGAGAAAGGATTCAGTGGGAGCAGAGCCAAGCATCTCCATGGCCTCTTAAACTTATTCCAAGGACATACATCTTTTAAAAATACCCAGGAGATTTGGCCAACAGAACAAAGAGCCAGAAAACAATCCCAGAAGCAACCTTGATAATTACTGCCTACCTTATACAGGGATATTTATGATTTTAGCCCTCCTAACAAACCTATATAACAACCAGAAATCCGGTTCTAGCAGAATTATAGGTTTATGAGAATTGCCCAGATCTCCAGGCAGCTGCTCCATCTGCAGTCCCCAGGAGACCCTGCACTGAGGACACCCACACTTATTCCAGCCATCACCTGGGCTGTTTTCCCTCCAGAAGGGGCTGTCACCAGTGCAGGATGGGGACAGCACAAGCCCTTTTTGAAATCACACCTTGGCAGTGCCACATACATCAAAGACTCTTTCCTTTCTCCTACTGATTTCCCATTTTCTGGCATGGCTTTTGCCAAATGCCACACTCCAGGCCCAGCTCAGCTCCTCACTGCCTGTCCAGGTGCTCTTATCTTCCAGCCAAGATAAGGAATCATCCCCAACCTGGAAGGTGAGGCCATCCTGCTCAAACCAGAAGGGGCACCAGTGCTCAACAAGCCTGAGGGCTTCAGCCTCACACCATTCCTGCTGGCAGCAGCTCATCCCCGTGCTTTCTTCATCCTGCTGCTGAGAAGGAAGGCTCTGGATGCTCCTCCTCTTCAGCACTCTTCCACGATCCCCTGGATTTTCCTTAATCCGTGGAGTCCCACTCGGTGCTCCAGCAAAGGCAAAGGTTGGATGGGTGATTTCATAATCCAAAGGTTTTCCAGCCTTTGTTCACAGCCAAATCCACACTGTGATCCCCAGGACACCTGGCACTGCTGTCCCCATCCCTGCCACGCCAGCAGGGAAGGATCTCCGTGGATGGGAAGGCTGGGAGGTGACAGCAGCACTCTGGATCACCCCATGGGAATGTCTGTGGCTCCTGGAGAGTCAAATACTCCTTCTAATTCCCAATCTTTATTTGTTCCTTTTCATCAGCATCAAGTGGCAGTGCTGCTGCTCACTTGGGAGTTGGAGAAGGATGAAGCTGAGTTACACCCACCCATCCTCTTACCCCTCCAGCTTCCTGAGACAGAAATTTCTTTTGCAAGTTCCCCAAAAGGCATAAAAAGGAAGAAAGAGGAACCAGTTTCACTTAACCCTTCCCATTTTGCATTGGGTGGTTCCTGTTCATCACTTGAAGCCATCACTTGTCTCCTGCTGGGCCTCCCAAAGGCAGCAAATTCATGGGCATTAACCATAAACCCTCCTCTGCAAATTAAAATGTTGGGATCTGCCTACCCAAGGAAGAGACCATGGAATGGTTTGGGTTGGGGGGGACATTAAAGCTCATCCAGTGCCACCCTGCCACGGCAGGGACACCTTCCACCATCCCAGGCTGCTCCCAGCCCTGTCCAGCCTGGCCTTGGCACTGCCAGGGATCCAGGGTGGGCACCCTGTGCCAGGGCCTGCCCACCCTGCCAGGGAACAATTCCTGCCCAATCTCCCATCCAGCCCTGCCCTCTGGCACTGGGAGCCATTCCCTGTGTCCTGTCCCTCCAGGCCTTGTCCCCAGTCCCTCTCCAGCTCTCCTGGAGCCCCTTCAGGCCCTGCCAGGGGCTCTGAGCTCTCCCTGGAGCTTCTCCTCTCCAGGGCAGCACCCCCAGCTCTCCCAGCCTGGCTCCTGAGCAGCCCTTGCAGCATCTCTGTGGCTCCTCTGGACCTGCCCAAAGCTGTCCTTGCCCTTCTTGTGCTGAGGACTCAAACGTGGCCCCAGCAGTGCAGGGGGAGGCCAGGAGGGCAGAGCAGAGGGGAAGAATCCCCTCCCTGAGCTGTGGCTGCAGCTCTGCCCTCACCTCTCAGGTACCTAGCAGCACTGTTCCATCCTCCCCTGCTCTTACTGACACCCCAAACCATGACAACAGGAAATTCACCCCAAACAAACACTCAGCTGGCACAAAGTGACTCCTTTGGGGACCTAAATTAAACCCCAAACACTTTTAAACCTTGCAGACGCATTGGGAGCACTCAAACCCACAGGCACAACACCTTTATCAACAGGTTGTCCCTACTACCTCCACGAGCTGATTAAAAACCCTCTCCCCACTATCAAAAGCTGGGATTAAAATATATCTGCCAGGGAAAAAAGGGCTCTTTTCCATGGAAACAGCATCCCCAGCTGTGCATACGTTACCTGCTGCGAGGCTGGCACTGGCTGCACCACTGGTGCCTGCGCTGGGGCCGACGTGTGAAGAGCCACAGAAGCTGCTGAGTCTGATCCACCCTCTGGACTCTGCATGCTCACTGCTGGGGACAGCACAGGGACATCAGAGGGGACAGCACAGCACAGCCACACACCCCCCCAACCCCTCTAAACCAAGGGTAAAATCCCAGTGGAATATCCAGAGGGAAGAGCTGGGAAGGGAGGCAGCTCCCGTCCTACACACAGGGCTCCTTTTAGTGCCTGCAGCTAATTTTAATGCAGAATTATGTGAAGGAAAAAGAAAGTTGCACAATTGTTACACGGAGAGTAGAGGGAAGGAACAGAAAATGCACTTCTATATTTAACTGAAAAGTGGTGTTGGAAAATTATTGTGTCACAGTGAGCATCACACATGATTGGGAAGAGTAGGGGCATATTTTTAAAATAATGCTTTCTCCCCTTCTGCCTTATCATGTTTAACTACTGCCAAAAAAAGTTTTTTATCAAACCTAAATTCCACTGGGAATGTGGGGCGGCCAGCTTGGGTTTACAACCAGAAAAAAACAAGAATGAAGAGCACAAGAACAGCAGTCATCATCATTTTAGAAGCCCTGAAGCAGCATCTCCACCCTCCCATCCCTGGCCTTGCCCCAAAACCCCACCGAGGTCCCCAGCCAGCCACAGCATCACCCCCCAGTGCCACACAACCCTGCAGAGCTGATGGTGCCCTCAGCATCCTCAAATCCCAGTCCCAGCTCTCCCTCCTGGCACTCTCCCAGCCCTGGGGACACCCGGAGATGCTGAGACAGCACAAAATGGCATTTTGAGAGATTTTTTTGGGGTGGGGGAGCCTTTTTTCCTTGTTTTCTTGTGAAATTTCCTGCTTAATAAACTATTTTAGGAGGGTTTCTGCTGTCACTTCAAAATCAAAAGGTTAAAAACATCCAGATTTTGGGCAGTGTCATTTCTGCTTTCTTGGACTCACTGCTGAACCTCTAAACAACATTATGATGGCTTTTATTTCCCTTCTCCTGCCAGTATTTAAACTTTTCCCTCACCTTTGTGCAAGTTAAGAGAAAAAAGGGAAAAAAGATAAATTGAAAGACACTGCACCTGTTCATTTGTATTCAAAAGAAATGCAAGGGGGTGTGAAGTTACAGAATTTACCTGTTTATTCCTTCAGCCATCAACAAACCTCCCCAAATATTAAAATTCTCCAAAACCCAGGTTTTTAATTTTTTTTTTTTTCACAATACTCCATACTCCCCAATTACTCTCCCAACATTCCTAAAGCCCCAGAGCTTGCAAATAATTTTTCTCACATCTGGGTGAAAAAGTAGATACAGAACCCACACAGTCACAGCTACCAGATGAACCTAACGAGCCAGAAACAATGGAAATTAAATCAATATTTATTCCTGTGTCCCCCCAGGCCCCTCCAGCTGCCCTCAGCACCCCCATCCCTGCAGCTCTGCTATAAAAAGGCAGCACCTGCCTCTCCCCATCACTGCCTCTGCCTGGGCTTTAGCCAAAGCCTCCCTGTGAGAAGATTCCAGTGGCAACAGTGCCGTGGGATCAGGAAAGTAAGATTTCTCCCAGTAAATTCCAGCTCCCCGCCTGCTCCAGCCACAAATTATTTGCAATTAAACACTCAGGCAGCACTGCTGGGTTTGGAATGCTCAGGTGGAGATGCTGGGCAGGACAGGGAGGCACTTTTACCACATCCAATCCCCTAACTTTTCCAAAAGTGTTTATTTTCTCTCTTGTGGCCTGGGCTTTGGTTTGCAGCTCCCCAGGGTTTTCTGAGTAGTATGGTGAGGTTACAGAAGAGAGGTGGGTGAGTTGATAAAGCTGTTTTAATCATCTGTTAATGGTTCTGGCAGGGTCAGCTCTTGGCATTTTAGGTCTACCAAAGGTCTCCTTTGAAGTGCAGCTATAATCAGAAAAGAACACTTAGAAGAGATGGATTTAGACTTTGATGATCCCTGTAGGTCCCTGCCAACCCAGAATATTCCACGATTCTATGATTCAAATCACCAACAACTCATCTCTGCTGATCCATTTTGTCTTCTGCTTTCCCTCAGTGGCCAGAAGGGAGCAGAGAGATGTGGGCAGGGTGGAAGGGGAATTGTCTGCTGCAAAAATAAATGCCCAGTGTGATTTTCAGGTTTGTCCCACGAGGCAGTGATGACAGCCATGCCAGACACAAAGGCTCCCAGGAAATCTGCAGGTGGTGTGGGAATCCAGAGCTTCCCTCTGGCTGCCCTGGGACCCTGGCAGGGTCAGGAACCCCCTGGACAGAGCCCCCAGAGACACTGGCTGTGATCTCTGTCCATGGAAAAGAGTTTTCAATCTTACAGGATGAATTACCAGCTCTGAGTGTTTGATATCAGTAATAATTAAATGTGGCACGGGTGCAAAAGTAAAATTTTAGGATTCTAGATAAGGGGTCCAAAGGGGACAAGATGGAGGAAATTGGGTGTGCCTTGTCCTTTTTCTCCTTCTTCATGCCCTCCATGTCTCACTGTGGTGTTGGCATTTTTCTGTTGGTTCAGGCTGGGGACACACTGTCCAACGTAGGTGACAGATATTGGCATGTTCTTGTAAATCCAGCCCAGGGAGTTTCTGGTATTTAATGTTTGTCACATCCCACTGAGGGTAGAGCCCCACACGCTGCCCTGCAGGACAGAGCTGGGCAGGGCAGCAGAACATGTGAGAGATAAACAGAATAAACAACCTGGAAACCAGCACAGACCAATTATGGCTTCTGCTTTGGCAGCGGGGCAGAAAGACAGAGACTTTCTACAACCTCGGGCTCATCAATACCTCAGATCCCGACAGGTGGCACTTCCAGACAAGGTAGACAGACAGAGAAGTCCTGGGCTGCCAAGCCACAAGAACAGGACTTGTTATTACTTTATTTATCAGTGCAACATCCTGGAGAAAGAATAATTCACTTCTCATTAAAACCATCCTGCGCTTCCTGAGAATGGGATTCAGATCCGTGTGTGCCATCTGCTCTGGGTAATCTGTGCTGATGGAAAGCTGACAGCACACACAGAATTCCTGTGCTCCCAGAAACCAGCACGAGGTGCTGCAGAGCTCTGCTGATGCCCTGGCAGCACGGCTGCCAAGCCAGCTGGCACCTGAGCCAAGGCTCCAGAGAGTGGAGAAAGCATTGGCATCCAAGGAGGAGAGGAAATGTGGCACCCAAAGCCTTGCTCTTTGCCCTTCTCCACATATTTATTTTTTAAGAACAGGTCACATAAGTCAGAGGTGGGACTGGCAAGGTTGGTACTCATGGGGTATTCACAGAATTCACAGAATCATGGGGCTGGAAGAGACCTCCAAGGTCATCGAGTCCAGCCCAGCCCCAACACCTCAACTGAACCCTGGCACCCAGTGCCACATCCAGGCTTTGTTAAACACACCCAGGGGTGGTGACTCCACCACCTCCCTGGGTAGCCATTCCAGAACTTTATCACCCTTTCTGTAAAAGGCTTTTTCCTAATATCCAACCTATATTTCCCCTGGGGCAGCTTGAGGCTGTGTCCTCTGGTTCTGTCAGTTCCTGGAGAAAGAACCCAACCCCACCTGAGCACAGCCACCTTTCAGGTGTACCTGAAACCCTTCCACCTTTCAGGGAGCTGTAGAGAGTGATTTAAGTCTTGTATTTCCACCATAGATTGGTTTGGGTTGGAAGGGACCTTAAACCTCATCCCATTCACCCCTGCCATGGGCAGAGACCCCTCCCACCATCCCAGGGGGCTCCAAGCCTGGTCTAGCCTGGCCTTGGATGCTTCCAGGGATCCAGGGGCAGTTCCTGTCTCAAATTCTCAGCAGTTCCAGGGACAGGAGCTCCCCTGGAGCAGCTCTGTGGCAGCTCTGTCACATCCTAGAAACAAGTTTCAAAGGATGGCCTTATAAATAAGACTAGATACTGTGGAGAAACAGAACTATAAAAGAGGCATTCAAGTAGGACCCATGAGGGGTAATTTTAGATGATTGTTTTTAAGGCATTTACAGCTTGGTGTGGCTACAGCTCATAGGCCAAGAAACGCTTATAGTATTTTGTAATTAGGAAATAGTTTACTTCTGATTATGATGGTGTGAATTATAACATCTGTGTTGTCTCATCCTGCAAATGAGACTGAAAATGGAATAAAAGTTTTTAAAACTCCTCTCAGTTGCCCCATCTCTGAGTCAGAAAAAGGTTTGATCTGACAACAACCCTGAAGCAAAGGCCCATGAAAGGAGTCCCTGCTTTCCTCCCTGAACACTTTCCACCTCTCACAGGGGAGGAATTTCCCAGAGTTTTGCATCATCTTCTCAGCAGAAACTCCCTGGCTCAAAAGCCCTCCTGCCTCTCTTAGACCTGGCTAAGACACAGAGTTTAGCCCACCTGCAGCTCTGCCACGAGGGGCTGGCACAAGCCGCTGAAGGTGCCTCGTGGCCTCTCCTGGCAGCCCTGGCACTGGGCACTCTGCTAATTGAGCAGTTCATTAATAACCAACAAAGCTTCTGCTGGGTCACACAGAGGATCAGCAGCATCCACAGTTTCATTTCTCACTTCCAGGCCTCCTTACTGGGTGAAGAGCAAAAAAAAAAAAAAAAAAAAAATTCAGTTTTTGTGGAGAAATGAGCAGATGGGCCTGGCCATGCAGAAGGAATAAAATCATGGTGAGAATCCCACAATGGTTTAGGTGGGAAGGGACCTTAAAGCTCATCTTGTTCCAATGCCCATGGCAGGGACACCTTCCACTGTCCCAGGCTGCTCCCAGCCCTGTCCAGCCTGGCCTTGGGCACTGCCAGGGATCCAGGGGCAGCCACAGCTGCTCTGGGCACCTGTGCCAGGGCCTGCCCACCCTCACAGCCAGGAATTCCTTCTTCATTTTGGGTTTCTAATGCAAATCTGCCCTTTCTAATCCAAATCTGCCCTCCTTCACCTTAAAGCCATTCCCCTTGTCCTGTCACTGCATGGCTTTATGAAAAGTCCCTCTGCAGCTCTTTCATAGGCACCTTTTGGGCACTAAAAAGCTGCTACAAAGTCTCCTTACACTGGATTTATTCAGCACTTTGGCATTTCAGGGAGAGACAAGTTTAA